TTTCCTCATCACACAAGAGCAAAACGGACTCGTCGTCAATGTGCAGCACAAGCTGTCGTGGGGACTGTGAGTGCCGGCTGTGGGCAAGGTTTCGCAGCCGGTGAGCACCGTACTGAAGTGGTTAAAAAACATGTATTTGGAGAATTTTTTCTGTTTTTTTGAGACAGAGTCTTGCTTGGTCACCCTGACTAGACTGAGGTGGCATCATTATAAGTCACAGCAACCTCAAACTCCTGGGCTCAAGCAATCCTCTTGCCTCAGTCTCCTGAGTAGCTGGGACTAGAGGTGTGTGCCACCATGCCTGGGTAAATTTTCTATTTTAGTAAAGATAGGGTCTCACTCTTGCTCAGGCTGGTCTCGAACTCCTGAGCTCAAATGATCGATTTTCCCACCTTGGCCTCCCAGAGTGTTGGGATTACAGGCGTGAGCCACCGTGCCAGCCTGGAGAATATTTTAAGGACATGGCAAAGTTTACATGATATGGGAATTGGTGGAAAAGATGGGGTACAAAATTATCTGTAGTGTGTTCATACCATTATAAAACAGAAAGTATGTACACATAGGAATAGGCTGAAAATACACCCCCATGTCAGCCATTGCTATAATTGGGTGGAATTATAAGTGATTGTTGTTTCCTTTTTATATTTTTCTCTATTTTAAAATTTCTAAAATAGACAGTTATTATTTTTATAAGCAGTGAACCCCCCCCCCCATGTGTATCGCTCTGTGTGTTTATTCTGGGTGTTATCACCATGGAAAAAAAGAATTTTCTTTAAATTCTATTTATGAAGAAGTAAGCTCCTTTTATATAAAACCTGTCTTTTGGTGAAAAAAAAATCCTCTTTTCTTCAAGTTGTTTAAATATTAGAATCATTTCTTATTCTATTAAAATTCCTGGATGGAAGGGATAAGTTCTAGCATTTGATAGTATAGTAAGGAAATTATAGTTAATAATTTATCATGTATTTTGAAATAGCTAGAAGAGAGGAATTATAATGTTCCCAACACACAGATAAATGTTTGAGGTGATGGGTATCCCAAGTACCCCGATTAGATCATGAGACATTGTATACATGTATTAAAATATCAGATGCACCCCCGAATATGTATAACTATGATGTATCAATAAAAATGCCAAAAAACAACATGAGAAAAACCAAAGCCAAATGGGAGGACTGAACGCTTGATCTGTGTGTGTTCTTGCTTCTGAGGGTGGCCAAGGACTGTGCACTTTGAGCTGGTGGCGCCCACATCCCAATGCCATTGCTGGGCCGCGTCCTCGCTCGCAACCTGCTCTTGGCCAGCAGGCGGCGCTCGTACTCTCCAGTGGCCCCGGTCTGTGCAACTGCACTTAATATAGCAACCCGATGTTGCCCCGAACATATAATTTTCAAACCTCCTAGTTCACCACAAGGAAAACCTCCAAGGATTTTCTTCTGGGAAGAGCAATTAGCCTAACTTCTTAGGAGAAATTGCATCGCTGAGCTTGTCTGGGAAAGTAAAATATCCTGCCGAGGGCGGTCTCGGGGAGGGTGCAGAGAAACCGCCAAGCAGCTGTGGGAAGAGGGAGCGGGCAGACGAAGGGACAGGCAGGACACGGTTAGGGCTGGAGTGGGAAGTGCCTTGCGTCTGAGGACAAGTTCCTGGCCTGTGGGCCTCTGGGCTTAGGCTGAAGGGTGTGCAGAGAATGAATGGGTGCAGGATTACTTGGGGTGGGGACCAGGCCAAGCTGCTGGACAGCCCCCTGCCCCCTCCGTCCACTTACTGCGACTAAATTCCAGCGTGTGGCATAGTCCCTGGAACCTAGAATATTAAAATAACTTCAACGCTTGTTTTAGTTGTCATTATTATTATTATTTGCAGAAAGCTATCCTAAGAGGATTGTATATGTTGTTCTGCAATCTTCACAATGACATTTTGATGTAAGTCTATCACTTTCTGTCTCTCTCTTTTTTTTTTGCTTTTGAGGATATGGAAGGTTAGTTACACAGTGCTCCCAGAGCCTGTAGGAGGCTGGGGTTGCAGCTGTGCTCCTAGGAGTTGTCCTTGGAGAGCAGGGCTCTACGCAGCCTTGCCAGGAGCGGCCGCCAGAGGGCGCTCGCCTCCTCCTCAGGGCCTGAGCGGGACCGGAAGGTGTCCTGCCCTGAATACTCCCCCGCCACCGGTGCAGTGCCCCATGCCCAGTGCCGTGCCCCATGCCCAGATGACCTCTGTATGACATTTTCCAGGATGAAATGTCTCCAGAGTGTCCCCATTTGGGACTAGGGGGCTAATAACCCTGTGCAGTTTTTCGCAGAACAGGGTGGTGATACCATTTGCCCCTGCCCTGCACAGAAGGGTGAGGGAGGACAGTGCTGTCTGTCCCCTTAAAGGTTGCCTGTAGGATGGGCAGCTCATGCAAGGCCCTAGTGCCCAGGGAAGGGCACAAAGTTGGTGAGCATTTTTATGTGCACCCCACCCCCTCTGAGAGGACCTTCACGCCCTCTGTTAGTTTTCTGGGTCTTATGACATATCCTAACCCAGCTGGGGCTGGGGGTCATGAGGTACGACTGGGAGGGCTATGGCTGAGCAGGCATGGCTCTGGGGTCTCCTCCTGCTCCCTCCGTCCCAGAGCCACGCTGGCCAGCACCCTCTCTTGCTTGCTGTGGCCCCTGCAGAGAGCTGGCTGGGTGCTGGGGGTAGTTCCTGCGTGTGCCATTTAACTCACGGAATTGCCCTTGGCTTGGTCTCGTTACTTTCCCTTTGGGCCCGCAGACCCCTCAGTGCTCTCCCTCCGGCACTGTGGTACTGAGATACATGGCCTCATGTAAGCCACAGCCCCATCCTTACCCTCTTTTTGCCATATTATCCCCACTTCTGGGCCCTGTCCAGCCCACCCATCCACCGCCCAGTCCAGATCCCAAGTGGGACCTCACTCCAGAAGGGAGGGGCCTTTGGCCCTCCCCGGCCATGGCAGTGACCCCTTGGTGAGCCACTTCCACGCCCCCTCGCACCCACCCCCTTAGGCAAACAGGGCCCGGGCACTGACCCCTGGGGCCCAAGGGCCAGTGCATAGGGGTGCTGTCCTGGCCAGGCCAGCCTACCTACACGGGCCTACCTAGAGCCTCTGGGTTGTCCCTCCCACCTCCACCTTGGCCAGAGCCAATGGGTCTCTTCCTCCTCTTTCCCTCCCAGCAGGGGTGGGCAGGTCGATACCTGGCCCAGGTTCCTCTTAAGCAATGGAGCTCCCAACGGCTTGTCGATGATTGACCAGGCCAGCCCATGGTCGTGGAGTATGCATGTGTCTGGCAGGCAGAAGCCCTGCGGCCTCCAGAGCCCCTTTCTTGGGAGGCTTCTTTCCAAGGAGGGAGACCTGGGGGGTGTTCCCCATGGCAAGCCAGCATCCCAGTAGGCCACACAGTTTCTCAGAGGCCACATGCCTTCGCTTCCAGAGGCCATTTGGCAGAGCAGCAATTGCTTCTCTCTCCAACTGAGCTCTTTAACCACCCTGCCATTTGTTTACTAGTCTACTTGTCCACCCACTCATCCACTCCGTCACTCATCTGTCCACTCATTCATCTATTCATAATTGAGTGGATAAATGAATAGATGAATGAGTGGACAAATAAGTGACAGAATGGATGAGTGGATTAGTGAGTGGACAAGTAGACTAGTAAACAAATGGCATGGTGGTTAAAGAGCTCAGTTGGAGAGAGAAGCAATTGCTGTTTCTCTCAGCAATGTGTCCACTCAATCATCTGCTCGGGGGCAATGGGAGAAGTGGATGCCCTTCCCTACTCTCCTGCCCACTCACTGATCCCCTCATCCTCTCACTCATCCCTCATTTCTACACTCGCCCACCCCGTCGCCCACTCACTCCCTCAGCCAGTGACTGTCTGAGCAACTCGGGTGCCAGTCCTGGTGTTGGGCACAGCTAGCAGAGAAGCTCCAAGTCGTTGTCGAGGGCAGAGCCTTTGGAGTCAGAAGGACTAGATGTGAATCCTGACTGTCCTGTCTCCTGGCCACATGGCTATGGGGACACTTCTCTCAGAGCCTCGGTTTCTTCAACTGTAAAATGGGGACCCCATGCAGCTTTCTCCCAGGGAGGTTGTAAAGATTGGCTTCAGGACCAATGCATGTAAAGTGCTTCATCCAGAGCCCAGAGGTAGGAGCTGTGGTTGCTGGGCCACTCAGTGGCCATGGGGCTATACTGGGGCTACTTCCCCACGGCCATCCCATCTGCCCCTGGCCTGCCCCTAGGACAGGCAGGGGCCCATCCCAGCCTCTCAGCTAGGCTGTGCTCCCAGGGCAGGTGGCCCTCACACCCACCCTAAAACGGTGGATGATAATCACCGCCTTCCCACGCACCCCTTCCCTCTGCCTTCTTCCTGCAGGGCACTCTGGGGTGATGCCAGGTCGGCCGAGACACCTGGAGCGAGATGCAGCTTGCTCCCTCCTTCTCTGCCCTGACAGCTGTAGGGGTGGGACTGGTCTAGAGCATCTGGAGCCACTTCCTTGAGGGCCCTCCTGGAGGGGCAGTTTCTCCTCCCATCTTAGGCCCTAGGTGGCCAAGACCCAGTCAGCCCCCACCCCGTTCTCTCCTATCCACATGCCCAGCCCGCCAGCTTGGACCCCCGTGTGCACTGTTCCCTCCAGCCCCTCCAGGACCTCCCTGGGCAAGTGGGCTTCCCGGCTGCAGAAAGGCTGTGCCAAGGGTCGGCTGTGGGTGGGGAGGGAGAGGGGCTGGGCATGGCTGGGGCGGGGGCTCTGGCTTGAGGGATTTCCTCTGTCTCCCCTAGACAGGCAGCCTGGCTGGAGGCCGCACAGGGAGTGTTGTGGGCTCCCTTCCTCTTGGTTGGGGGATGTGTAGAACGGTGAGTGTGGACTTTGGAGTGGCTCAGACCAGAATGCAAATTCTCCACGCACTGGCCTTGTGACCTTGGGCAAGTCACTGGTAAAATTTTATGGGTTTAAGAAATGCATGTGACATACTCAGCATGTGCCTGGCACCCAGGAAGTGCTGTGTCATCAGGGGAAGGTGCTAGGGGTGGTGGCAGTGTACCAGCCTGGGTAAGCCCCTGGCCACTCAGCTCAGCCCAGCACCTCAGCTTCCGGCTGGGGCTGTCGGGTGCTCCATCCTGCCACCAGTCCTTGGAGGGGCCTCCAGTGGTCACGTGTGTGCTGGATGACGCCTCCTGTGTCCTGGATCGGGGTGCAGATGGGCTGCGGCAGTTAGGGAGCCCCAAGCCCCCAGGTCATGTTTTCAGCCTGACCTACCAAGTAGACCTGCCTCGATGGGGGTGTGGTGGACGTGGGGGGTGTTTTGGTCTAGGGGTGGCTCAGTGGTGGGACGCGTGTGAGCGCACACCCCCTCGCTGGCTGCGCTGTCCATGGGTTGGGGCCCCGCCTCTGGTCAACTTGCCCCTGATCAGCTGGTCCTTACTGGTTTGCTTCTTGGTCCACTCTGTTTTAAGCTCCTAGACAAGATAGACCTTGAAAAAAAGACTTGTATATCTTTGTTGCCTTGTAGAGCGACTGGCCCTGACCGGACGAATGAAATGGCGCGCGGTCGGAGCAGAGAGCGCGGACAGTGCACACCTCGTCTCACGTGGGCATCGAGTGAGCCAAGGTGGGCACCCCAGGCAGGTATTCTGGGGTCCTGTGCACTGCGGCCCCCCTGCCCCCCCCTGTACTGAGGCTGGACATTGTCGGGGCCTCTCCTGCTGCAGCCTTCTGGCAGGGACAGCCTCGCTTCCCAGAGGCCGGGGAGTCCCCACGTGGCCGGGTCTGGCACTGCCAGTGAGGAGCACACTGAACTCAGGAGCTCCCCGCCCTGGCCCTGGCCCCAGCACCCGCTCCGCTCCGTTCACTCTCGCCAGAAAGGGGGCTCCTTGGAGGCCACGTGGTGCTTGGCACAGAAGGGGTGCTTAATAAACGCCTGCCGACTGAGTGATCCACTTGCTGGACGGGTCTGGCCACGCTGCCTGTGGGAGCTGGTGACCTGGCCTGCCTACCAGCTGGCCCTAGGGCTGACCACCTCCCAGCCCTGACAATGCAGTTGTGAGGAAGAGTTCAAACCCTAGGTCTGCTGTAGCCCATGGGTGGCCAGGGGCTGGAATTTGTCGGAGGTGGCGGCCTCTGAAGCCGCCCTCTGGCCGTGCCTGGAGCAGAGTGACTGGGAGGCCACAGCACCCACACCTGTGATCCTGCGCTGAGATGTGAACCTCAAGAGGGGTCGGGTCACCACCCGGGGCACTGGTGTTGCCCCCAGTGGCAGCCCTCCTCCCACCTGGGGAGCAGGCTGGCACTGGCCATGTCTCCACAGCATGGAATAACCCAGGGAGTCTTGGAGCCTCAAGTCTGTCTCCTCATCTGTAAAATGGGAGTGCTCACACACAATGGAATATTATTCAGGCATAAAAAGAAATGCAATATAAGACGTGCTACAACATGGACAAACCTCGAAAACATACTAAGTGGAAGAAGCCAGACACAAAAGTCTGGATAAATGCAGCGTCCAGAGTCGGCAAATGCACAGGGGCAGGAAGGAGACTGGGGGCTCCCAGGGGCAGGGGAGGAGGCAGTGGACAGCACCTGCTTAATCGGTATTATCACCTTTTGGGGTGATGATGATGTTTCGGAACTAGACAGAGGTGGGGGTTCCACACACTGTAAATGTCCTAGATTCCACTGAACTGTCCACTTTAGAATGTTCATGTTATGCTGTGTGAACCGCACCTCAATAACGATACAGGTTGCTGCTGAGTCACCAGCGGGTTGGGGGATCGGAGAGGAGACGGCCGTGCAGCTCGGTGAGGGATGCTGGCGAACGCCAGAGACTGGAAGCTGTCGTTGCCCTGGCAGCTGCGTCAGTTCCCTGCCTCGCTGACCTCCAGCCCACAGGAGTCAGGTGCAGGAGGGGACAAGGAGGGTGGCCTCGGGTGGCCACACCCCTTAGCCAGAGGCAGAGGGCACTGTGGTGGCTGCTTCAGCAGCCGTGGGGCGATTCCGGTGCTGCCCACCCAGGCTCCAGCCTCCGACGTGCTGTGCAGCTGTGGGCTGGCCCTTAGGCCTGGTCCGTTTCTTAGTTTACCCATATCTGCCTCAGTGCACCCAGGTCCTGCTCAGTGCAGATCACTGCCAGGCAATGTGTTGGCTGTCTCTCGTGTCTGCCGTCCATCTTCCACACCAAATCAAGCAAATACGTGATCTATTTTGTTCATTAATGTATTTCTAGCACCCAGTGCCTGGCACATAGCAGGTGCTCAATAAATATCTGTTGAATGAGCCCACGCATGAATCCTCATTACTTACGCAGTGGGTGCCGGGGCCTGTCTGTGCTAAGTGCTGTCAGTTAATAGCTGTGAGGTCAGCGCTGTCATTATCCCCATTTTGCAGGCGAGGAAGCTGCGGCTCTGGGACATGGAATGGCCATAGTAGAGCTGGGGTTTTGACCTGGCAGCCCAGAAGCGGAACCCTGGCTCCCCTAGGCTGTCTCCTGGCCTCTGTGCTCCTGCTCTGGGAGGCAGCTTGGGCCCTGGAGCACTGGCTCTGCCCCTCAGCCCCCTGGCCCTCACTCCAGGCCCCCTGCAGCCCCACGGCCCGCCCCTAGCCCTTTCTCAGGCTCACAGCCTCCCCAGCCAGCTCCCTTTCCTGAGAACCTCTGTCATAAAGAAGGCGAGGCCCTGATCTGGCCTGTCTTTCTACCTCCGGGCCTTCCTCACCCAAGGGAACCTCGGTTATAAATACAGGGGTCACGCCTTGAGCTTGTATTAAGCACCTTTCATCTGGGGAGCTCCCTGCTGCTGGGAGGCTAATTAGCTGCTGTCTGGGAAGAGTGAGTAAGAGCTGACGTCCTAGCCCGGGAACTGGTTGGCGAGGCACGGGGCTGGCCCGCCTGGGGAGAAGTGGGTGAGCCATCACCTTGGGCCGCCCACCCCTCCACATTTCTCTTTGCCACAGGATCTCCTCACAAGGGTCCCTTCCCTCTGGCTAATAATGAAGGCCACCATTTATGGAGTGCTTACTGTGTGCCAAGGGCTGGCTAAGGCCATTCCGCTTATTAAATGTACATGTGCAAATGCACGTGTGCAGAGCTGTTGTGAAAGAACCACCACGGCTCCTATTATACACCCCGACTCCCTGCTGGCAGGGGGCCAGCGCTTCTGCACATGGCCTCATGGAAGGCATGGAAGCCCTTAGTGTGGTGCCTGGCATGGGTTAAACACTTGATAAGAACTGGCTATTACTAGTCATCTTCATTACTACCTGCTGAGGTAGGTACTATGCTATTCCCATTTCTCCGATGAGGAAACTGAGGCCCAGAGAGGTTAAGCCACTTGCTGGAGATCACACAGTCAGGAGCAGAGTTGGATTGGTTTGACTCTAAAGCTACAGATACTTTTCCAGCTGTTCTTCCCTCCTGTCCCCCAACCTGGAGCCTATTACTCCAAAGGCCTTGCTTTGAACAATGTTGGAGCTGTAGGTCATGGGGCAGGGGCGTTCCTCTTGTCCATCTCTCCAGCAGGGCACTGGGGGGCTAAGCTTGGACTGAGAAACCTTGGAGATCATCTAACCCAACTCATCCCCATCCCCCACCTTTCTGATGAGAACACTGAAGGGACCGTGCAAGGTGACAGGACTGATGGGAAGATGCCCCCTTGTCAAAGTATGAGGGACGAGGAGGCAGTGTTGGCCCTCATGACTGTGACCAAGTAACAATCATCCCCACACTAGAATTCCCGCTGCTGCCTGCCAGCCTGGCTGAGCCCCAGGGAGCGGCCTTGGGGGCGTTTGGGTGGGTGGGAGAGCACACAGCAGGCTGGGAGCTGAGACTGGGGCCGGGATGGTGCCCTCCAGGGCAGGCTCGCCCCTGCGTGGCATGCCTCACACGTCCCTGTACTGACCGACCCCAGTGAAGAGCGCACAGTAGGTGCTCAAGAATGCTCATTGGAGAAATGGCTGGATCCTGGACCTCCAGTAGAGAGGAGATGAAACGTCGAATGCACAGATGGGTAGATGGTAACACCATGACATCTCGCCATTGCTCTGCAAGCCTGGTTCCATCACGTGTGACTGTCCTTCAGGCTGTAGGGAAGGGGTCTAAGCAAATCTGCTCAGGTGGAGAGAAGTTCGTGGGCGTGGGTACTTGGCTGGGGTTTCCAGAGGTGGGCACCATTCTCGGGTGCTAAGAGCTGGCATCCATCCTGTCTGCCCCTCCAACCTGCCCCTCCAGCCCCTGCGGCACTCTCCCCAGGACCTCTTCCCTCCTCTGGCTAAGGGTTCCCTTAGGAAGGCCTGCCCTGACAGCCTCCCCATCCCAAATCTTAGTTACTTCCTTACTCATGTATGTTCTTGGAGCGCCTTATTCTTTTCCTTCATAGGAATTTGAAAGCCTTTCGAATGGAATCTTATATGTCTTTATGAGATTATTTGTTTGAACAAGTCTGTCCTCTCTGTTAGACAAAGCTCTGCGACGGTGGGAACTTTGTCATGGCCATTTCCTGTCCCACCTGCCTAGCAGGACACATTTGATATTGGATGAGTGAATGACAGAATCCCCAGGATAGGAAGTGTGAACTGAGCCAGTAGTTCTCTAAGTATGGTTCTAGTACCAACAACATTAGCGTCACCTGGGAATTTGTCAGAAATGCAAATTATCTGACTTTTTGGGTGTAGGACTCAGCAATGTGGATTAGAAGGAACTTCCAGAGGGATTCCCGTGCACACTGAAGTTTGAGAACCACTGCAGGAGGCAAATGCCCTGCTGTTGGGTCCGTGTGCATTGCGGCAAAGGGCAGCTTTGGCGGCCTCTAAGAGGAACCGGGATGGGATGAGCAGCCAAGGGACAGAGTCCAACGCCCGGCCGTCGCCGCGATGCCCAGACCGGGCCCACGCGTGCTGTTCGGCGGGCTGGCCGCTGGAGGGCAGTGTGACCACGTCCACCGCGAGCCGAGGCCAGGCCGGGAAGAGGAGCTGCGGCGTCTTCGGCCGGGAGCGAGGAAACAGGAGGGGATCTCGCCCCACGCCGCAGCCTCCTTATCGCCCTCCTCGGCTCTCGGGCCCCAGACGCGCCGGGAAGCGACGGGGGCGCAGCCGGTGCGCACCAGGTGGGCCGCGGGGCCCCTGCGCGCAGGCCGGGCCTGGGGCGCGAGTCTGGACCGCCTTGGCCCTGGAAGCTTCTCGAGGCTCCGGGGAGCCACAGGGCTCGCAGGGGAGGAGATACCGAGGGCCCGACTGGGGCAGAGCGCCAGAGCGGGCGGCCGGGCCTGGCGGCTCCCCGGGCGAAGGGGGCCCCGCCGGCCGCTGCGCGCAGGGCGCGTCGCCATGTTGCCGGCGGCTTAACCCCGTCCGCGCCGGCGGCCGCCTCCCTCCCGCCCCGCCCGGCCGCCCGAGGGGTGGGAAACCGAAATGCCCGGGAACGTGGAGGGATTTCTAAGAACGTGAAGAAAACCTTAGGCCCTGGCAGCTGCCCCCGGGGTGTTTGGAAATGCCGTCCCATTAGGCACCGGGAGGGCAGGGCCGGAGCTTTTGTGAGTGAATTGGATTCGTTCCAGCCACCTTCCTTCTCGATGCCCCGCATTCAAGGAGCTTGAAGCCAGGGGCAGTTAAAGCGGGTTACAGCGGCCGTCAGGTTTTTGCCGGGCCGCAAGTGTCAGGGGCCAAGACGAGGCGCATATCCAAGTGTAGAATCTTGTTGCCCAAACGCTTGTGCAACTCGCTCACGGGCCACACCGATCTCCCCGCCAAAGGTCAAGGCCGGCAGCCTGGGCCGGACACTGGCGGCCAGCTCCTCTCAGGCCCTCTGCACCATGCGGACTCTAAATGCCATCTGAAAAGCCCACCACGCCCTCATGGATGCTGTCTCTCTGTCTTTTGGGTGTTTCTCACCACATTCTAGAAAGTCCTTTCTTTTTAATGTCATCAGTTCTTCAAGGTCCAGCTTAAAT